CAGTGAAATACATGGTTCATCATGATGCATGTATAGAATAGGGTTTATTGGGAAAATCATTAAGAACAGAGAAATAGAAACACACAATCTCTTCAACTTGCACCATCCCACGGCTTAGGCAATGTGGAGATGGGCTGCATGATCCAGGGTTGATAGAGTCAARGGGAGAGAGAGAGACTGCACCCATCATCAGACACACGCGCACACACATTACACACACACACATTTATATCTGCCCTATTAAAACAGGAATCTTGGAACTCAGTAGTTGTTGGAACTTGGAACTCAGATCTCCTGCAAAAYGCTCTGCTAAGCTTATGAAAAGGGACCATTTGGGTCTGTACCTCTCAATGCAACCCCTGGAACCTTCATTTAATGTATTTCTTTGCATTAACTGGCACTCAATTATAGCAGGTTTATGTTTCTCTTCTCAAGTGGGGTGTCAATAATATCTCATACAGCTGGGTCCAGTGGGGAAAGACATCCCTAACATTGAGAGAGTTATGGAAAGCACCTGGGGTGGGGGTGGGGGGAACAGGGATTAATCTGCATCTAAAATAGGAATGAAATTTTTGTACCCTCCTCCGTCTCATCTACTTCTGCCTCCTTGCCCATCATGCAAGGCCTATAGCCTCCCCTCCAAGATGACCAGATGACCTTTCCCTAACTTATGAGTCCCCAGAAACTCAGGAGCTACCGTTTTCCAATCATGAGTGACTTCTGAGAAGAGACGAGGGTGACCATAAAAGCACCCACAGCAAAGTCAATGTCCAGATTCATGTCAATTGGAACAATACCAATTGTCTATCCGTTGAGGTCAAACCAAGCATGACAAAAGAAAGAGAATTTACTTTTCCTTTTCATGAGTCCTATTCAAGAAAGGAGAGAGAAGGATACTCTCCCTCCTCAAATTCTCTGCACTACCTGGACATAGAAATAGCTCAGCCCTGGAAGATGGAGGCCATAGCTATATGCAACTTATAAATAACTAAAGACACATGGAAGAGATAGGCTTATAGAGGTCTTCATCCAAGTTTGGCACAGTTGATAAATTATACAGGATTTGTGGATAACAATAGGTTTTATACAAATTAAAAGAAAAATCTTGCCAGGTAGTCTAATCACTTAGAGTAGTTTTATTATATTTTTAAATATTTATTTTTTAGTTGTACACAATACTTTTATTTTGATAACTTATTTTTATGTGGTGCTRAGGATCRAACCCAGGGCCTCCCACATGCTAGGTGAGCACTCTACCACTGAGCTAAAACCCAGCCCCGAGTAGTTCTACTATTATAATTCTTTAAAAAAAATTATTTTTAATTGTTAATGGACATTTATTTATTTATTTATTTGTGGAGCTGAGAATTGGACCCAGCGCCTCCACATGCTAGGCAAGCACTCTACCACTGAGCTACAACCCCAGCCTAACTACTATTATAATTCTTTTGAGCATTAATCAAGCGAGCTTAAGCAGAACTATTCTTCAACTACTTTTTTTTTTAGGTTTTTAAAAAATTYGTTCTTGGGGCTGGGGTTGTGGCTCAGCGGTTAGAGCTCTCACCGCCCATGTGTGAGGCCCTGGGTTCGATCCTCAGCATCACGTAAAAATAAATAAATGAAATAAAGGTACTGTGTCCAACTACAACTAAAAAATAAATATTAAAAAAATTATTCTTTGAAGTTAAATATGAYCCTAGAGTGTATTCTGTTAAATTATACATACATGGAGTATAACTTCCCATTCTTGTGGTTGTACATGATGTAGAGTTACCATGATCCTGTATTCATATATGAACATAGGAAAGTCTACTGTCTTTCCTGTTCCCATCCTCCCTCCTTTCCCTTCATTCCCATTTGTCTAATCCAATGAACTTCTATTCTTCCCTCCCTGCCCTGTTATTGTGTGTTAGCATCCATATAACAGAGAGAATATCAGAACTTTGMTTCTGGGGAATTGGCTTATTTCATTTAGCATGATAGTCTCCAGCTCCATCCATTTACCAGTAAACATCATAACTTTGAAAAATATGGAACACTTCATGAATTTGCATGCCATCTTTGAGTAGGGGCCATGCTAATCTTCTCCATATACTAAATTGTTCCAATTTTAGTATATGTGCTGCCCAAGTGAGCACTCTTCAACTATTTTTAAAGTGAGGCATTTTCTTTAAGATGTGGCCACTTTTTATGGTCCAACATGACTCAACAGTTGTTAGAAGTTCACCAACTGGTCTSTTTGGGTAAAATTTGGTCTCAGGACAGTGTGTTGGGACTAGTGGTACCACTAGAGTTCAGACTGCTGAGCATCAAGTACTATGAGTGGTGATGGACATTTCACCATTATGCTGGATTGTGGACCTTTGGATGGTGGACTATTTCATGAGTGAGCTCTGCTGTTTCCAGGGTTTGAGACTTGTAGGTGAGGATACACTTCAAGCCAGTTGTCTGGGTAAAGTCGTGGTTTCGACTATCTCTAGGTCTGCAGGGTATTTAGCCACTTGTTTACAACAGTAACTAACGTCTTATTTTTTCTTAATTAGAGATGCCGTTTTCCTCTCACATGAAGCTTACTCAGGCTTAAGCCACACTACGGGGATTTAAGTCCGAGATGAGGCTTGTTCAGTCCCAGGTTCTCTTCCCATGAGTTAATCTGTGTTCATTAGTGTCCAGTAACAYRGGTCAGCATAGTCACTTMGCAGTGGGAGAAGKTTCCATAGTCCCAAAGTCCTGAGGTAAAGAGTTCTGGTGGGTTCTTTAGCAAGTTTCTAAATAGCTTTGAGACCAGTCAGAGATGTCTGTAATTTCACTGAATTTGGAGGAGATAAAGGTTCCAGAAAAAGCCCCTGATTTACTGCTGCCTGGGTTGCTTCCAAGCCTTCTGACTCTAGCAATTGTTATTCAAATATGACCCCTGTCTGGTGTCTTTGGACTGTAGAACCTGTTGGTCACCAGTATAGACAATTAGGAATTAAGAATTTGTATATATATATGTTTTATGTAGGTGGAGGCAATAGGTCTGTGCCGCTGTGCTTCTTTTATGGGTGTGGAATGCCTCTTTTGTCAAGACATGTACAGCCCTCAAGAAGGCCACTGATGGAGCTTTGGATTTTGTACCCATTTAGGAGTCATTTGTGCTTAGGTGGCAGACAATGCAATGCAATGCACAGACCTGATATATATCATTCTGAAAAGACGTCACATGAAAGAATTATTGTTGAATGTTTTAAGTACCATGATAGTATTGTAGCATTTGCACTCATTTCTAAATAACCTGTGGTCAAAGAAGAAATCACAARGGAAATTAGAAAATATTTCAAACTGAATGATGGTGAAAACTCAACATATCTAAAGGTGTGTGGTGCAGATAAAGCACAGCTTAGAGGGAAATTTATCATTTTGGATGACTACATCAAAAAAGAATAAAGGGATTTAAAATTACCGACCTGAATTTCAGACAGCAGAAAGTAGAAAAATAGCAAATTATGCTCAAAATAAACAGAAGGAAAGAAATGAAAAAGAGTGAAAGTCAATAAAACAGACAATGGACAGATAACAAGGAAAATTAATGAAAACAAAAGCAATTTTTTAGAAAAGTAATACAATTTATAAACTTTTAGCAAGAGTAGTTTTGAAAAGAGAACACAAATAATCAATATCAGGAATGAAAAAGGAGATGCTAAAAATAAGAAGTTGTCAACAACTTAGTTTGCAGTTTCCTTATCTGTCTCTCATAGTTGTTTTGTAGATTCTGTGTACGTGGCATATGAATTGAAACAGTTCTACTTCTGTTTCTCGCTTGCCTTATTGAATGGGCTGGGACCTCCAGTAGATGGGTGTTAAGGTCTGTAAATAAGTCAAAAATAACACCTGGTATTTTGCCAGAGAAATATTGGAGTTCGTAAACAAGTCTGGATGGTGCCTGGCAAAATGCCAGAGGGAGTGGTTTGAAAMGTAACAAAAGCAAGCCATTAAGTGTGGAGATTCCTTATTGGTTGGCTGATGTATCTAGTTTATGCTAATTAAGATAAGCTGTGCAAAATGTATAAATAGCTCTGTTGCCCTACAATAAATGGCTCCCATTCCTGCTGTATCAACGAACACAAGTTATTCGTCACCCCCCCAGCTATTTTGCTGCAGCCGGACTGCGGCAGATGGGGACTGAAGTAGGCAGAGTGGACATTCTTGCTTTGCTCCTCATGTTGTGGCAGGTGTGAAGCAGCTATAGGTTTTGATTCTAATTGTGTTGGGAAGTCATTTTAGGGTTTTACTTGCATGAGTGACATTACCCAATATACCTTTTTAAAGAACCTCTTGGGCTGCTGTGTGGAGGAGAATGGGCTCTAAGAAGACCAGAGTGGATGTTGGGAGAACAATCTAGAGGCTGTTGCCACAGTGCAGGAGAGAGGTATAGGTGCCTTGGACCAGAGTGACAGCAGTAATGATGGAGGAGAGGCAGTTGGATTGGGGGCTTTATTTTGGACGTAGAGCTAATAGTACTTTCTGGATCATTGAATTAGGGCTAAGGGGAAAGGGGGGAAATCAGGTTTCTGGTTTAAACAAGTGAGTTTATTTCAGACTTTTTAGATATTTTTKTCATCCCTCTTTCTCTTTAAAATGGATAACTGAAAGTGGATACAGTATTTTGGAAATTCTAACCTTATGCTATTTATTTGTTTATTTACTGTGGTGTGGGAATCAAACCTAGGGCCTTGAACATGCTAGGCAAGCACTCTACCACTGAAGTACGCAGCTATCCTCTGATAAAAACCTTAATTAAAAAAAAAAATTACAGATGGACACAATATCTTTATTTTGTTTGTTTATTTTTATGTGGTGTTAAGGATTGAACCTAGTACCTCACATGTGCAAGGCAAGTGTTCTGCCACTGAGCCACAACCCCAGCCCCTGGGGCAGAACCTGGGAGAAAGATTATATAGATTTTTAGTCAATTTTAGATATCAAGGTTCTGAACTAAATTTCTGCATCTTTCTTTTTAGGCTTGTCCAAGACTGGTTTTCAGAAAGGACGCAAGTGGCCAGGGTGGACTTCTCGGCTGTGTTACCACGCTTCATTTCTCTATATATCTTCTCTTTTCTGAACCCCAAAGACCTGTGTGCAGCCGCCCAAGTCAGCTGGCCCTGGAAATTTTTAAGTGAACAGGTTTAGTTTGTGTCACTTCCTAGTAACAGAACTCAAAGGCAGCTGTGATCTGTGATGAGGCAATTTGCTAGCTGTCTTCCCCGAAGATAAGAGCGGAGGGTGCTTGTAGCACAACCGAATCACCCTGAATGAAAATAATAAGGACAAGCGAAATCCAGCAATTGTTTTTTTTTTGTTTTGTTTTGGTTTTGGGGTTTTTTTTTTTTTTGGTACTAGGTATTGAACTCAGGGGCACTCGACCACTGAGCCACATCCCCAGCCCTATTTTGTATTTTATTTAGAGACTGGATCTGAATGAGGGGCTTAGTGCCTTCCCCTTGCTGAGGCTGACTTCGAACCCACAATCCTTGTGTCTCAGCCTCCTGAGCCGCTGGGATACAGGCATGTGCCACTGCACCCAACACAGCAATTGGTTTTGCAACTAAGGCAATATACATGATTCCAGTACYTCACATAATTTTAAATAATCTTGAAATATTCAATATATAGAAAACACCTTACTTTGTTAGAGGAGTTCATTATACTCCATGGAAAACCATTTAAGCTTTGTTTTTTTATCTGATATTATTTTATCCATGGTAACTCAATTCTAGAAAATTGCCACACAACCATATCTTCGGCAGATCCCTCTTCAGCTGATATCTGTTGAAGAATATTAATCTAGATCCTCTAACAGCAGTTAAAGGCAGTTCACAGCAGCTGCTTAAAATCAACATCTTCTGCCCTAAATTCTGGCTCTGGTCTTTTTGTCTCTTCCTTTTCTGTGAAAAGATTCAATGCAATGTAATGGAAGACATACTTAAGATCCAAGTCAATAATTTCCTCTCTTTAGATTATGCAAAATGTCCAGGGTGGGCTTGTGTCAAGACCTGGTCTGCRAGTCTAACTGGCTCTTGATGGAGAGGTCACAGGCACAGCCCACTATGAGCCCTGGGCTCACAGAACCTCAAAAAATCTCTTCAGAATTCAGGGTAGTGTTTGCACAATGTATTGTTTTTGTCTTTTGACATTTAACTTTTGTAGGTCCTTACACTGAAGGTATATGTTGTGAAGAGAATATGGTGGCAGCAATTTTTTTCTTTCTAAGGTTTGACAATTTTTGATTGATTGATTGCAGTACTGGGGGCCTCACATATGTTAGAAAAGCACTCTACAGCTGAGCTCCATCCCCAGCCTGCAACCTCTTATTTTTAAACTGAAGTATTTATTTTGTTTATATTTGTATATATTTTTAAATATTTGGATTTAAATACATCATCTTACTATTTATTTTTTAGTTTATTCTGTGTGTTTTTCCTCTCCACATCTTTCTTTGGATTAACTTGATATTTTAAATATTTTTTGACTGCAAGTTACAAGTTGTTTCATAGTTACCACAGAGACTGTAGTAAGCATCCTTTGTTATTTTACCACTTCAAGACAATGCAAGAAACTTAGAACCCTTTAATTTCATTGATCCCTTTCTCAATTCTGTGCTTTTGTTGTCAAGTATAATGTGTGTGTGTGTGTGTGTGTGTGTGTGTGTGTAACAAACGTACAATTGACCTTGAGTTCACAGGGGATTGGTTCTAGCACATCCTTCTGTCCACACAGATACCCAAATCCATGGCTGCCCAAGTCTCTTACATAAGATGATATAGTAGTGTAGTAGTTACACTATAATTCTCCTATTTTATTCATCTCTAGGTTATGTATAGTATCTAATACCCTGGTATTAGTCAGTTTTTCACTGCAGGGACAAAATACCTGAGAAAAAACTTAAAAGGAGGACACATTAATTTTGGCTTATGGTTCCAGAGGTTCCAGTCCAATGGCCAGCACCATCCTTTTAGGCCTGAGGTTGAGGCAGAACATCATGTCAGAGGAGCATGGTGTAGGAAAGCTGATCCGTTCGTGGCAGCTGGGAAACAGGGTGGAGAGGGGCAGGMGACAAGAGACACTCTTTCAAGGCACCACCCCCAATGACCTCTTCCTCCAAGTAGGCCCCACTCACTACAGTTTACCATCTTTCAATGATGCCATCAAATCATGAATCAATCTAGTGGATCAATCCATTCTTGATGTCAGAGGCTTCATGATCCAATTATTTTCCCAGAGTCCTAGCTCCAAACATTGCTGGATTGGAGATCAAGCCTTCAACCCATGAGACTCTGGGAGACTTCCAGATCCAAACCATACCATGGAGAGCCATCTGTATATATAAACTTTATGTGTGTATGTGTATGTGTGTGTGTCTAACTATATATATAATATATATATATAACTATATATGTATATATAACTATATATAATATGTAATATACCTCACAAAACTTTATTGCTATTGTTTTATAAAATCAATATTTATTTCTATGTAACTACCTATTTATTTTTTCTGTTGCTAACTTCTGACATCTCTGAGCTCCTTTTAGGATCATGTTTTTCTGAATTTCTTTAATATTCCTTTTTAGTGTAGGTCTGTTGCTGATGATAAAATTTTCTTAATTTTTGTTTGTCTACCAAGTATTTATTTTATCTTTATATTTGAGGATATTTTCCACTGGGAATTTGAATTCCAATTTGGCRGTTAATTTATTTTTATTTTTCTAATTAGCTATACATGAAAGTGGAATGCATTTTGACACATCATGCATAAATGAAAAATAAATTCTCATTCTTGTGCTTGATRTAATATCACACTGKTCRTGTAATCATATATGCACATAGGGTGGCAGTTAATTTTTATAGAACTTTGAGAATGTTCCATTATCTTCTGGCTTCCACAACTTTTTCTTGAGAAGCTGGTTTTATCGTTATTCCCTTAAAGGTATTTTTTTCTCTTGTCTCTAGCTGCCAATCAGACTTCTTTCTCTTTTATTTTCAGCAATTATATTTTGATATATACCCGGGTATATATRTGTGTTGATGTACCTATATGTATRCAGCTTTGTATTAGTATTTTGCAGTGAGTTGTTTTTTGTTTGTTTGTTTGTTTGTGGTGCCTTGTGCATTCGAGGTAAGCACTCTACCAACTGAACTATATCCCCAGCCCTTGCAGTTTTTAATCTTATATTTAGTGTTTTTCATCTGTGTGTTGTCTCTTTATATATTGCTTCTGCCCCGGTATGTCTCTTTTGCTCTTGGGATTCTGATACTAATGTTAAACTGATTCACCATGCTTTATAAGTTCCGTATTTTGTTATATGCATGTTCTATGCTTTTAGCTTTCCACATTTAAATCCAGATTTTTTTTCTGACCCATCTTTCAGTTTACTAATTATTTCTTTAGCTGGATTCTGATCTTCTCTTAAACCTCATTCACTGAGTTTTAAATTTCAAAATTATTATATTTTTCAGTTCTAGAATGTCAATGTACTTCTATTGCCAAAAATTTCCACTTGGCCATTTATGTCTTCAGATATATTAATTACAGGGTGTAATTTTTCAAAGTTTCATAATTACAATGTTTGGCTCTCCTGAGGATCTCTCTATGGTTACTAAAAACTAAAGAAGAAACAAACAATCCTTGTCTTTTTCCATGTTCTGGTTATTTTTGTTTGGGCACTAGATACTTAGTATAAAACATTGATGTGATAATTTGAGTCTCTAGATGATGTTATTTTCCTCCAAGAGAATTTACTTTTGCCTCTGGCATATGGTTAGGTTGGGAACAGATCATGTAAATCCAATCAGAGAACAAACTCTTTCAAAGCTGGCTTTTGTTCTTGTGATAGGTTGTCTAATTTTGCATCATTTTTCCTGAAAGGGTCTCTCCTGAAGGCCTGGGGTGGTTACCAGTGCTATTCCCTTTACTAAGAGCCCTGAATTTTACTTGTCTCCTTTCTTTCTTATAAAAATCCCTAAAGTTCTTTATAGCTTCTAAATCTTTCAGCCATAATTTTCTTCTCAGCTTCTTAGCCTACTAAGATTTACTTCAGAACTAGAAAATGCCTTGAAGTAAAAAGTACTGACAAATATCAGGCGTATCTGTCTGGTTTTCTCTCTCTTGAGGTCTTGGTGGCAAGTCCTTTGTTCCATTGATAGCTCTATAATGCCTTCAAATAATTGTTTTTGAAAAATGATGTTTTGTCTAGATGAGTGATTAGATTGAATCCCACGAAATTTGCTGTTTGCATGTGTCAAAAATGGTTGCATATTGCAATATCATATGATTCAATCACAAGTGTGGGAGGGTTGGTTTGGAACAAACCACTACAATATTGCAGGAAATTGAATTGTATGACTCTAAGGTCAGTGTAACCAAATGCAATGGGAACACTGGRAGAGTGTCACAAATATGACCAATACATATATCCATCTGTCATATAGATATTCTTTTCTACCAAAGAATTTTTCCTATGGAGTAAGGTATGCTTCATATTTCTCAGGGTCAAGCTGAAATGTCAAGTCAATTATACCAGAAATCTCAAATGTAACAAAAAATATTGTCTGGATACCTGAAAATGTTATTGCTAGAAAACTATTTTTAAAAAATTTTATAACTCATTGTTCTCTTTTTTTATTTTTATGATTTTTTTGAAGGATTGCTTATGGATGCCCAAATGTATTAAGTTTGGATGGTTTCTGCCCTATACACCAACAGACAACGAGTATGGGGCTTGGAAGCGCCATTACATTGCTTGTGTGTCCAACCTAGATTGGCTAACTCCCAGGGAGGCCACTGCTCTTTATGGGACACTGAATGAACCCAAAGCAGAGGACGAGGAGCTTCAGGAGAGACAGAGAGAAAAATGCCTAAGGAAAATAATTTGGGAGAAAATTGCTCTACACAAGAGTGAGTAGCATTTAAAAACATTGTGTCTTACTCAAGTGTTGTAGAAACAAACGGATTTACAGACTGATTCCTACAGAGGAGGATAGCTCTGTCTTTCTGGAACAGCCTGTGGGGTCTTCTCTCATGTATGCYCAGGGCCAATTCTTTTTCCTTYATTGTGTATTTCAAGTTAGTGGGTAACAAAAACCAAAAGACTTTAGATGAAATATATAAAGTCAAGAATCAGCACCTCCATCACTGTTCCTCTCAGGTTTTTAGAACCTGAACAAGGAGGAGAAAGATATATACACTGAGAGTCAAGGAAGAGCTTCAGGATGGAGGAGCTGGGATTGATGCTAAAAGAGGAGAAATAAAGGCCGGGGTTGTGGTTCAGTGGTAGAGCACTTGCCTAGTACATGTGAGGTACAGGGTTTGATCCTCAGGACCCCAAAAAATAAACAAATGAAATAAAAGAGGAGAAATAAAAATGGGAATGGAAGCAGAAGGGATGGCAGTAAAAAAAGTTTTTTTAAAGGGCAAAGAGAAAGTAGGAATGAAGACATATTTTTAGCTAAGTCCTCTAGTCTGTACAGTGTGTTTTATCATATATATACATATATATATGATATATATTTTAGTTGTAGGTGGACACAATACTTTATCTTATTTTTATGTGGTGCTGAGGGATCGAACCCAGTGCCTCACACTGGGCAAGGGCTCTACCACTGAGCCACAACCCCAGCTTCACAGTGTATTTTAAAAATAAGCAATTAGCTAGTCATAGTTGGTGCACCCCTGTAATCCCAGTGGCTCAGGAGGTTGAGGCAGGAGGATTGTGACTTCAAAGCCAGCCTTAGCAATTTAGTGAGGCCCTAAGCAACTCAGGGAAACCCTGTCTCTAAATAAAATATAAAAAGGGCTGGGGATGTGGCTCAGTGGTTAAGCACCCCTGGGTTCAATCCTGGTTATATAAATAAATAAATAGATTCAACTAGACAGATTTGAGTTCTCCCTTTCCCCGCCCCCTCCCCCCACTGACTCATCCTCTGGGGAGATTGTAACAAATGGGAAATTGCTTGGAACCAAGAAAAAGGGCAGAAATGGATGGGAAGTCTATAAATTGATGACCTGCTCTCCACTAGAAGAGTTCCTTGTCTTCTGCGCTTTTTTTCTTGACCTGAAATGACTGATAAGTCACAGCCACAGTGCTGTAAGGATAAGAAAACCTAAGAGTGTTTGCAAATGGCTGTAATTGTTGTCATCTGGAATACTGCCCTGGTATAGCTTTATTGATGCCTTTATCTATGTCGACTTGGCTAGAAGAAGCTTGAAGTAAACAGCCGAGCCTGCTGGTGTTTGTTTTCCAGAGGAGTTATTCAAAGTTCGACCCCCTTGGGTGACTGGAACATGCTGCTCCAGATTGTTAAAATCCAAATACCAACCACATCTCTCCCAGACGGTGAGGGATCGAGTGGGATTACATGAAGCTTTGGAGAAACAGCTTGTTTTGGCATCAATAGAAGCTTTGCCCAAACAGTAAGCACATTTCCATCTACTGTTACCCATATAACCAATAATCCATTCTAGAATAATTTAGATAACCTGCAAGGAGCTTCAGTAATTATATGGTTTATATTCTATTAACTATCTATGGAAACAATTATTACATTTTCCAGAACAGCAGTCTTGAAAATGCTGTCTGAAGAGGGAAATGTGTAACACTGAAACCTTGCGTTTGATATATTCTTAACCTTGCAATGAGGTTATATTGTGGATGTAGTACATTTTCTGTATAAAGTTTTCTAGTAAAAATAATGYTTTCCCACAAGTGTTTTTGATGTAGCAAACATATCTAAATGGGGTCTACACTAGTCAGCTTTCTGTTGCTGTAATAAATACCCAAGATAAATAAACTTAAGAGGAGGAAAGGTTTATTTTTTGGCTCATGGGTTCAGAGGGTTCAGTCCATGATTGTTTGGYTGTGCTGCATTGGGCCTGTGGACAGCACAGTATATCATGGCCAATGAGTGGCAGAGGAGGCCTGCTGGCCTCATGGAGGCTAGAAAGCAGAAAGAGTAAGGGGCTGGATCCCAATATTTCCTTCAAAAGCACACACCCAGTGACCTAACTCCCTTCCACTAGGCCGCACCTTCTAAAGCACTTGTCATAGGGTAATGTTGGGGTCAGGGTGGCTGTGGAGAGAATAGAGACGTGACTCAGAGACCCCTAAGTCTCAGAAGGAAATTTGAAGTTTCTTGATTGCCCAGTTTTAACCCCTAAGTAAATCATCACATTAACTTTAAGGGCCCAACAAAAGCCATAATGTTTCAAGACCTTTCTAACATCCCAGGTGTGGGGGAGAGGAGGACTACGAGGGCAGATGTGACTCTGCTCTGCCAGCAGCCCAAGATGTGACTCTGCTCTGCTGCTGTCCCCCAAGCCACAGCCTATTTGCTGCTGTCCCCTGAGACCCAGAGGCCAGGTGCCCCATGCAGTGCAGCTGGAGTTCAGAGGACATAGATGCTTACTTATCAGAAGTGAAGTTAAGGGAAGAGCAGAACTTTACTCACCCCTCCTCTTTCACTACAGAAGCAATGTTTCTGGAAGTCATCCTTACCCTTTATTATCAAAAAAGAAAACCTGGCATGGAGTTTCTCGAAATGATGACAGCTCTTCCTCTGCTTCCCAGCTACACGTCATCATCATATCATCTCGGATTCCCGCGTATGAGGTACAGACTCTTGTGAGGCCAGCCCTTTCCTGAATGGTCATTTTTCATCCACATAGAGGGTGTGTAGCAAGGTTTTGGCCACGATGTGTACGAAAATGATTCATCTCCTAAATGGAAAATTGCCTGATCTAAGTGGAAATTTACAAACCCCAAACATTTTTAAAACCAGAAACAATAAAGGTAACCATGAATCAAACTAACTTTGAAAAAGCAGTAGACAAACTGACTTGCATTTAATAGGTGTTCCGAATATTCTTATTGAAATGAATCTGTTGCACTTAATCCAAAAAAAACAGCATGATGATTAAGACTTATTTAAGATCTTCTCTGGAATTCCCAAAGATTTTAATAATATTACATAACCACCATCTCTCAGAAGAAGAATGTGAGAAATCGTATTCTTTGATCTATTTCATGAAGGTACCATTAAATTAAAATATGCTTTACATATAATAAACTTATATTTTTAAATTTTAATATGAATACAAAAAATGAAGGAAGTACATAGAAGACATACYTTTTTTTTTTTTTGGTATATGTTTGTCTTCAGACTTATCACAGTTTGACTTAATGAGTTTTTGACTTTCTCATGCATGGCATGAAAGCCAGAGACATTCAGTAGAAACCACTCTTTGAATTTTGAATCTTGATCTTTTCTGGGGCTGGTCATAGTGGTATGATCCTGTCTGGCAATGCTAGGTGACAGCAGCAGGGAGCCACAGCTGCCAGTCAGCCCTGAGATGGGGATCACAGCAGGCTCTGTGTGCTGTGTGTGCTGTGTTGCTAGACGGGCATGCTTGGTAGGTTAGAGGTATGAAATGAAATGCAGTTTTAACGTGGGATGTTTTCAACTTACAGCGGGTTTGTTGGGGCATAACTCTGTAAGTTGGCGAGCATCTGTATATATGGATGTGTTTGTATTAATACACATAAAGAGATGAAGAGAATCTCATTCAGCAGGCTACATTCATTGGTCTACTTAGAAAGTTTACCAGAAAGTTCCTATTTGTAACAAAATGGCTGCTTTGAACACGTGAAATTGCTTCTTTAGGGCATGGAGGAAGTGGCTCTAATCATTGTCAGTTGGTGAGGTCAATAAGTTCAGAGCTGTGATCTGCGTGTGTGCCACAAGTAGTTCCCCTAATGCTAAAAAATGTACCGTTGGCACAGAGGATCGATCATTGATGACCCCTTTCCACCTATCCAAATGCCACCTGTTTTTCAAGGTCCACCTATAGCTTACTATCTCAGCAGTATGCCTGTACCACCCTAGTCCACAAAAATCTCTACATTTTCTATATTTCTGATAATTCCAGATTTAATTTCTTTGTGGTAGTTAGTAAAATATTGCCTATTTTATCTGTGTGCACTAACAAGTTGGTCAAGTCCATTTCCCTGTTTGTCCTCTTTTACGTAAGACTATGGCACAATTATTTATTTGACTGTGAATGATGGGGAGTTTAAGTAAAAAGTGGAACATAACCACATGGTAGTTCTCTGGTCAGTTGAACTGAATCAAGAACGTGGCATGGGGTTTTGGAAAAGGCAGCAGCTTTAATGACTTCTCAACCTGTCTGACACTATGAATTAACTTTATCACGGTGAAAAGTTTGCTTGGCTATTGAATTAACAGCATTTTTTAACATTGATTTAAATGGGAAATATTTATAAACTGATATTGATAATTCAAAAATTCGTAGTGAAAAGGAAAATTTAAATCCAAGAAGTTCATTGCAGTATTGTATGATCTTGATTTTATCATTTTTAAGTTATATATGTATATGATATATTTTATATACATTTTAATATATGAGTATATAAAATACATAAATATATTTTAAAATATATATTAATATTAAATATAAATTAAAATATATATGTAAATATTATATATATACACACATACATTTGTGCATAGAGTGTACAAAGGTAAAAAGACTAAAAGAAAATAACCTACATTGTTAAAAACATGTATCTCTGAGTGATGGAGTTGCAAGTGAACTTAATTTTCTCCTCTTATAATTAGAAAAGGAGTACAATAATTTTAAAAGGAATCAATTAAGAAGGAAGCTTAGATTCTTCCTTCCATGATTTCTGAAAAACAAAAACCTTCTTAGCAGTCACAGTATGTTATATATCCATTATAATTCTCCTATTAGTAAACATTATAAAATAACAGACCCTGGTCCTGTAGCTGTGTTTGTTTTCTAGATGGTGCTGGACAGCCTGAAGGCAGGTCTCATTTCTGTGGTCTGTGAACATGGCGGCATGACCTTGGAGAGCCTTCTCTACCTCCTAGGGAAAGCCCTGCAGGGGCGGAAGGCACAGAGCATAGGAATCCTGAGTGATGGAGATAGCAGAGAAATCAATTTACTTCAAGGTGGGACTGAGGATTGGTGAAGAACAGCCAGACAACTTTGCCCTTAAGCAGGGTTTGTCCACTGAATAACTTTAATATTAATTTTCAATTTGCTAAGAAGTGTTGATTTTAGCTTAACAGCATACTCACGTTGTTGTGAAATAGCTGTCCAGAACTTTTTCATGTTCTCAACTCAAACTCTGTATCTACTCAACAATAATTTCAATTGTGACTAATTCTCTTCCCATCTCGTAATCCCTGGCAAACGTCATTCTACTGCACTTTAGATTCCTCCTACAAGTGGATCACATTTATCTTTTTGTGACGGATGTATTTCACTTAGCATAATGACCTCAAGATTCATCCCATGTTGTACCATGTGACAGGATTTCCTTCTTTTGAAAGTGAATAATATTTCATTGTATGTTTATGCCCCATTTTGCATATCAGTTTGTCCATCCATTTGTTACTTCCATTTCTTGGCAGCTATGAATAAGGGTCTGCAAGTATCTCTCTGAGTTTTTGCTCATAATTACTTTGGATGTGATTGCTGGGTCTCCCATGGTAGTTCTATTTTTGTTTTGGTGCTAGGAAGTAAACCCAAGGGCCACTTTACYACCGAGCTGCATCCACAGCCCTGAATTTTTTGAAACATGGTCTTATTAAATTGCTGAGGCTGATTTTGAACTTATGATCCTTCTAATTCATCTTCCTGAGACATTGAGATTACAGGCATGTGTCACCACTCCTGGTAGTTCTACTTTAATTTCTGGAGAAATCCCCATATAGTTTTCCATAGCTGTTTTGTCAATGTGACATAAGTATTTCAGTTTTTCTAAATCCTGGGGGGGGTTGGTTGTGTGTGGGGGGTACTAGGCATTGAACTCAGCGGCATTAGATAACTAAGCCAAATTCTCAGCCCTGTTTTGTATTTTTATTTAGAGACAGGGTCTCACTGAGTTAGTCGCTTAGTGCCTTGCTTTTGCTGAGGCTGGCTTTGAATTCACAATCCTCCTGCCTCAGCCTCCCAAGCTGCTGGGATTATAGGTATGTGTCACTACGCCTGGCTCTTTTCTTTTTTTGAATAATGCCCATCATCATTGTTTTTGAGTGGCAGTTCTCTGATATTGAGTGATGAGTGATGTTTGGCCATTGGTGTCTCTATCGATTTATCTACCTATATCTATGTATCTATATATGTCTACATATACATTTTTGTGTGGTACTTGGGATTGAGCCCAGGGGTGTTTTATCACTTAAGTACATACCCAGCCCTTTTTATTTTTTATTTTGAGTCAGGGTCTCATTGAGTTCCTGGGGCTGACCTCAAACTTGGGATTATCCTGCCTCAACCTCTTAAGTTGCTAGAATTATAAGCATGTGCCACCATGCTAGGCTAACAATCACCCTTTTGGGGGCTGGGGAGAAATGATGAGTTTTAGAAGTAAACTTCTAGTTTCTTTTCTCCCTTATAGAACTTGGATTCTCCCCTGCCTATACCCAAAGAAGGATTTACTGTCATCAAATATTCCATCCTTGTGGTTTGAGGGAGGAGGGAACAAGATGATCAAAGATCCAGCTGGCAGGAAATTCACAAAATGGTGAAGTGAGTCCCTGAATCACTTCCCAGGAAGTGAAGCAGAGGAGAGTGGCAGTTAATGTTTGCTGACTCTGGTAGCCTTACATCTGCTTTGAACTACTTATGTTTTGATTGATAATTGTGGGAAGCATTTTGACTTTGGAACTTGGTTGCAAGATCCCAGGACTTGACCGGCTATTCACTGTGAACTCTGTGTGAGCCTGGTGACTCACACAGCTGCAAGGTGGAGGCAGAAATGCAAAGCCCAAAGCCAAAGCACACCATGTCCAGTTGTTCCACAGTGTGAAGGACACTCTGCCATGAGGGTGTCCAGTGGCATCTTAGTGGCCTGAACATGGTGCAGCATGAAGTCCGGAGATCTTGGTCTTATGAGTAGATGTTGGCTTTTTGAATCTGTGTTTGCACACTGTTCATGACAATTTCACAAACTAATATGATATTTTGATTTGTCCCCCTCAGGCTATAAAATTGGTATTAAAAATTTACTGAGGCCTGAAGTGAGAGACTTCTGGGAGAAATTAGGCAGCCTTGTAGCCACCAAAGAAGAAGGGGGTCATGTGGACTTATTTGTGCCTCTTGGAGCATCAGGTGAGCTTTTGACATACTCTAGAAAGAAGTGGTCACATGTACTTTATGATGTTCCTCTGTGAATTTGTGAAGTGCTCTTAGAGCAAATGATTCAGTCACACTTAACTCTTATTTTTCTTTATATGTCATATACCAGGAAAGAAGGGGTTGGGGATAGTGATCAAAATAACCTGTTTCTGCAGAAATAGTCACTTTTGGTAAGRCTCAGCAGCGTCATTTCTATTTATTCTGGAAACAAAAAATCAGTATCCATAATATGGGGGAAAGTACCTGGTCAGCAGAGGAACAATTATCAACAGTCTGAGGAAAACTGCCCCTTCAGTGCTTAGAACCTTGAATGAGCATGACCTTGGTGAACAAGGTCCTGGACCTGAGTCTGCCCATGCTGTTTGTTAGCCGTGTGGCCACAGGCAAGTTTGTGGCTGTTTCCTCACACAGAAATTAGGAGTTAGTAACTTACCTGACCATAAGGACTTGCAAATATCAAAATAATATAAATATTTTAGGCTGGGGCTGTGGCTCAGTGGTAGAGCGCTCACCTAGCACGTGCAAGGCACTGGGTTTGATCCTCAGCACCACCTAAAAATAAATAAATAAATAAAATTAAGGTATTGTGTTCAAATACAAGTAAAAAATATGTTAAAGATTATAAATATTTAAATAATGAAAATTAAAATAAATAGATAATATTAAAAACAGTGAAGTGCTTTATAAAAATAAGTATGGTTGGTGATCAGTGAAGTGGCCCACCTGTCTGGAATTTATGAAGCAGAGAAGAGGAGAGGGAGCATGAAATTAAAATTTCTCAGAATGCTTCTTATTTGTCATTCATGAAAATACTGTGAGTTTTGAACTTTTTTTTTTTTTWAWWMCYKGKWWTKRAMCYWRGGG